GAGGGGGGGGGGATGGGGGAAAGAGGGAATATTTGAGCTTGATATATGCAATGCATGCAATACATACCTAAATTCCTTTTTTGCAGTAAATGATGCAATATTGCATTGTGCGTAGGCTTCATTTTCTTTTGCAAACTTAAGATGTGTAACTCTTCAAATTGGGTTAAATTTCCCAATTCAAGTTTTACTCTTTTCTCTTCATTCTACAAAACCTAAATCATTCTTAACATTCAATACTCTACTCTAGACTCTATATTCTACACTCTACACTTTAAACTCTACATTCAACACTTTATTCTTTACACGGTACACTTTACACTTTATACTCTACACTCTACACTCTTTACGCTATACTCTACATTCTACACACAATTTATACTATGCAATCAACACTTTATACTTTAAACGGTACACTATACACTTTATAATTTGCACTTTAAACTCTACACTCTACACTCTACACCCTACACTCTACACTCCGCACACCACACTGAAAACTGTAGAATGCGCTGGTTTATATTTCAATAAATCTTTTTTTCTGTAACTGTCGGTGCCTCAGGAAAAGATTGGGATTAGGACCCTGAGATTAGGCATATAGGCCCGGGGCGTAGGCAGTAGGCAGTACTAGTTTTTTTTCAGGCCAATACGAACTTAGGGACAGCAATTACGGGAGTTCTGTAAAATAAGGGAAGGTGAATGAAAGGAGAAAGGAAGAAGGCCGGGAGGACTGGAAAATAAGGGAAGGTGAATGAAAGGAGAAGAAAGGAAAAGAGGTCTGGAAAGGAAAGGAAGCTGAATGAAAGGAGAAGAAAGGAAGGCAGCTTGGAAAGGAAAAGAAAAGTAATAAAAGTAGAAGAAAGGAATGGAGTTCTGGAAAGGAAAGGAAGGGAAATGAAAGGAGAAAGCAAGGTCTTGAAAGAAAAGGAAGATGAATGAAAGGAGAAAGGAGAAAGGAAGGGAGGCCTGAATGTCTGGAAAGGAAAGGAAGGTGAATGAAAGGAGAAGAAAGGAAGGGAGCTTGGAAAGGAAAAGAAAGGAAATGAAAGGAGGAGAAAGGAAATTAAAGGAGAAGAAAGGAAATGAAAGGAGAAGAAAGGAAATGAAAGGAGAAGAAAGGAAATGAAAGGAGAAGGAAGGAAGAAAGGTCTGGAAAGAAATGGAAGGTGAATGAAAGGAGAAGGAAGGAAGGGAGGTCTGGAAGTATGGAAAGGAAAGGAAGGTGAATGAAAGGAGAAGGAAGGAAGGGAGGTCTGGAAGTATGGAAAGGAAGGTTAATGAAAGGAGAAGNACCCTGTTAATAATGTCTTTACATTGTTGTACAGTATCTTTACAATATGCAGTACCCTGTTAATAATGTCTTTACATTGTTGTACAGTATCTTTACAATATGCAGTACCCTGTTAATAATGTCTTTACATTGTTGTACAGTATCTTTACAATATGCAGTACCCTGTTAATAATGTCTTTACATTGTTGTACAGTATCTTTACAATATGCAGTACCCTGTTAATAATGTCTTTACATTGTTGTACAGTATCTTTACAATATGCAGTACCCTGTTAATAATGTCTTTACATTGTTGTACAGTATCTTTACAATATGCAGTACCCTGTTAATAATGTCTTTACATTGTTGTACAGTATCTTTACAATATGCAGTACCCTGTTAATAATGTCTTTACATTGTTGTACAGTATCTTTACAATATGCAGTACCCTGTTAATAATGTCTTTACATTGTTGTACAGTATCTTTACAATATGCAGTACCCTGTTAATAATGTCTTTACATTGTTGTACAGTATCTTTACAATATGCAGTACCCTGTTAATAATGTCTTTACATTGTTGTAAAGTATCTTTACAATATGCAGTACCCTGTTAATAATGTCTTTACACTGAAAACAGTACTTTTACAATATGTACTTTTTAAAACGTCGATATACAGCTGAACCAACATCTTTTTCAAAGAAAAGACTAAAAAGTCAAAAATAGTCATGGGAAGCGCATCATTTGAAATATTTACAATTATCATTTTTTATTATAAACTCATGAAAACTTGTGTTAAATGTTCATAGCGTGTATGTCGTGAATTCCAAGAGAATACAACACACGAAAACTAAGCCATAGAATCCTCTCGTCGCCCTTCCTCATACCCCCCCCCCCTCCTCCTCCTTCTTATTAGACACAATATTAAACTTCTAATAATTTTACAATTTGTTCAGGATCACATCCAAGAAGTTCTGGACAAATGGGAATCCATAGATGATGAAATATGGGCTAAGGTAAGCTACGTTAAACTAATGTAAATTTCACCACGTCAAGCTAAAGTAAATAGCACGTAATATGGAAATCTTAACTCCTTTATTTTAAGAGCATGACCAATTATAAAATGGTTTGAATCATGATATTGACAGATAAGAGGGAGGGGGGGGGGGAAGTTATTTGTTGAAGAAATAAAAAGATTTCTTGCGTCCAAATTGGTTCCCCGCCGAGATATTTGAGACAGTGTTGAATACAATTGAATTAAATTGCAAAATCTATAGATTCCTTGATGATTTTCAATTTGAAAATGTCCTAAGTGAGCCAATACGCAAAATTGAGCTCGATATACACAATTCAGTGCGTAAGGCAATCAAGCTGAAAAGGTGAAAGTCATTGAGGTCCAGAAAGATTTAGAAATATCTAATCTTGATTTAAACTTCTCAACCTTCAAGTAAATTCCAAAACATGACGAAATCAATGATATTTTAAATGGTTGTCGCCGAAAGATTATTTTTAAAACGGCAATTTGAAGTTCAAATCAAAACCTAAAGTGATGGTAATGCAAAATTTTTATTTCCTTTTGTTTTTAAATTGACAGATTTTTCACGCCAGAATTGCACACTGCACTGTTACAAAGGAATTTATAAGATTAAAATATTGCAACATTTTTAATAATCTTATAATCCAATTATTACTTTTTTGATTCCTATTTTACTCAACAATCCTTGTAGCTCGTAGCCCCGTCAGGACAAATGGAGGAAAATGTACGCTAGATTGTGACGTATGTATTTAGGTTAATCAACTACACTGAAGGAGCACTGTATATTTATAAGAAGTTGTCTTCATTTACCATTTTATCATGTATGATTAAGGTGAAGAAAAATTTTGGTTTATTTTCAAATCCCTTTTCCGCGTACTGCAACTAATAACAATGATCAGTGTAGTTGATTAACCTAAATACACACGTCAGAATCTAGCGTACATTTTCCTCCATTTGTCCTGACGGGCTCGTAGCTCCACTTTTTATTTTACACACAAGTATGGAAATGCAAATTTATTCGAAATTATATATTAGAAATACAAAACATTTTATTCTTTTCAGTTGCTCTAAATTTTCAACTCCTTAGCTGTTGACGTTATTACCTTTTTGTTTTTAAGGGAACTTTATCATTTGTCTACTTGTGTTCAGGTTAAAAAGTGTGTTTAGGCTTTTTAGTCTAATAAATATAGTTCAATTGTACTAAAACGTGCTTCTAGTTATAGGTACAATGTACATAAATGGTTTCCTTTCCAAAGATTAGAAAAAAAATTCGAATTATAATTTTTTTTTGACGTTTTATAAGAAAGAATAGAATAAATTGCACATTTTTAATGACAGACTTGGAGATTTTTAAAACTAAATGTTAAACTCGGTTCTTTTGTAGATTAAAAGTTAAAACCGCATTTTAGAAAAAAATGTTGCGTCAGTTGTACATTGTACATTGTACATTGTACATTGTACATTGCACATTGTACATTGTATCCACTAAAAGCACTTTTTAACCCCAAACAATAATATTTATTAGGATAAAAAGCCTAAACACACATTTTTCAGAGACACCTTATACAACTCTTTTCTGTTTGTTCTTGTTTTGCATTGTATTTTTGTTTTGTATTCTGTCCTTGTGTTGTATTCTGTTCTTAATCTTGATTTGTAGTCTGTTCTTACTCTTGTTTTGTATTCTGTTCTTGCTCTTTTTTTTGTATTTTTTCTTGGTCTTGTTCTGTATTCTTTTTTTTTCTTGTTTTGTATTCTGTTCCTGTTCTTGTTTTGTATTCTGTTCCTGTTCTTGGTTTGTATTCTGTTCCTGTTCTTGTTTAGAATTCTTTTCTTGTTCTTGTTTAGTATTGTGTTCCTGTTCTTGGTTTGTATTCTTTTCTTGTTCTTGTTTTGTACTATTTTCTTGTTCTTGTTTTGTATTCTATTCCTGTTCTTGGTTGTATTCTGTTCCTGTTCTTGTTTAGAATTCTTTTATTTTCTTGTTTAGTATTCTTTTCTTGTTCTTGTTTTGTATTCTGTTCCTGTTCTTATTTTGTATTCTTTACCTGTTCTGTTTAGTATTCTTTTCTTGTTCTTGTTTTGTATTCTGTTCCTGCTCTTGTTTAGAATTCTTTTCTTGTTCTTGTTTTGTATTCTTTTCTTGTTCTTGTTTTTATTCTTTTCTTGTTCTTGATTTGAATTCTGTTCAACTTTTCTTGTTTTGTATTCTATTTCTGTTCTTATTTTGTATTCTTTTCTTGTTCTTGTTTTGTATTCTGTTCAACTTTTCTTGTTTTGTATTCTTTTCCTGTTCTTGTTTTGTATTCTGTTACTGTTCTTGTTTAGTATTCATTTCTTGTTCTTGTTTTGTATTCTTTTCTTTTGTATTCTGTTCTTGTTCTTATGTTGTATTCTGCGCTTGTTCTTGTTTTGTATTTTGTTCTTGTTCTTGTTCTTGCATACTTTGTTTGCTTTTGTTTTAAATTCTATTTTGGTCGCTGTGTTTACATTTGTTATCTTTTGATCTTCATACCTTGAAATACTTGAAATGTTGAGATGATGTTCCGAAAAAGTTGGCATTTAGCTGTCTACAGTTTTGGCACGATCTAATTATTCCAAACAGTTTATAACGTCATCTTTTACAGTTCTTCTCAACATATATTTACATGTTTTGTACTGCAGTCACGTCAAACTGTAGTAAAGAATGATCTCATATATTTACACAAGGCAGACTCAAACATGTTTTGTACTGCAGTCACGTCAAACTGTAGTAAAGAAGGATCTCATATATTTACACAAGACAGGCTCAAACATGTTTTGTACTGCAGTCACGTCAAACTGAAGTAAAGATTGATCTCATATATTCTCTCAATCATTGCTTCTCTTATTGAACACCTGTTGAAAAGATCAAACAAAGGAATTGAGTTTTTGTAACAAAATCTGATTTTCTAATACCTATATTTTTTACACCTGATGGTGTAAACCTTTGATATTTTAAACTTAGATTCTTTCATCTAACAGAATTCATGTCTAAGGTCTACGGCATTGGGTTGCAAAGATATAGAGATTTGAAAATCATAGTTTTTGACAAAGACTCAATTCCTTTTTAATCTTAATATGACCAAATAAATTTCTTTTCACATCTTGTATACGTAAATTAAAAACTGGAGGATCTACTCTAGGTTTATAAAGTCGTATCAAAATGTTACATAAATTTTACCGTCCTCTGTAGTCTAGTTTGAACTGCGATGTTTACATTCTCTCCACACAAAATGTAAACAAACTAATTTATATTTGCATTTTACAATTTGGTTTCATCAATTGTTTCATCAAAAACTAAATTGATTAAAAAATTGTTATTCTTTAATAAAATGTTTTATACTTAGATTTATCACTTTATAAATAAATTATTGATCAATAATTACATAGATCCAACTGTTTTATACATTGTAAATTGGTGCTTATGATGGGTCGGGTTGCATGTAAAAAAGGTGAAAAAAATACAACGAAAAATAATGGAAACAACTATGATATTATGATATCTTATCATCAATGGGAGAAACTGAAAAGCCTATCCTTCTATGTTAAACATGAATAACAATTCTTAAAGTTAAAAAGCAAATTGTAAGTTGATTAATTAATTGATTGATTGATTGATGTTTCCAGGTAGTAGTGTTGGAGCGTAACCGGCGTGTTGCTAAAGCCTACGCTAGAGCTCCGGTCATCACGGTCAATGGTACAGAACAGGGCTTCGACGGATTTAGGTGAGTTACAAATTCAAAGATGATTTTTTAATACTAGCTCAAGTGCCGGGCGTTGCCCGTGGAATTTTAGAAACATATTTATTTGTATATATATTTATAAAGATATAATAACATATATATATTTGAGCGAAGACCTTTTCAATATTAGACAATACATAACAATGAAATACAATAAATAAATTAAAATTAATTTTAATCTATTTTGATCACGGCAATAAAATTAAATTTCGAATACTTTTTTCTTTCCTAGGGTTTAAAATCAAAGCTAGAGGGTTGCTACAAGATTACAAAAAGCCGTGTCGGTGACATTGTATAAATTGGACCTTCACTTTCTGCCTAGTTCTTAGTGTATACTGTAAAGCCTAAAAATGCGATGATTACATTTTAAAACGATATACTTATTTTGAAAAAAAGCCATCATTTGTATTGTGGAACGATATTCTTTTCTCAATACAGTTAACAGCTTCTTAAATTTATTAAAAAAATAGTTAGTTATACCATTCGATTTTAATGTAATCATCAAGTTTTTATGCTTTGGAAAAATAGATTTTTAGTTGAAATGGATTTTAAAACCAATTCAATGTTATTTAACCAAAATAAAATAAAAATCTATATTAACAGTTAAAAAAAAAAAAAAAAAAAAAATCCAAATAACTTGTTCTTTTAAGGATCGGAGTGGCAGGGTTTGAAAATCCAATGCGAGATGTTGGAACAGAGGAGATAATTAAACAGATTAACCAGGTGATTAACAGTAATTAACTCATTAATTACTCATTAATCAATCATAATTAGTTCACTCAAACCTGGCAAATTTTATTCTTAAATTCGTTTCCTGCGATGGATTCAAATATTAGGTTCAAGATAAAATACACATCATATATAACAATACAAAACAAAATATGATAAACACCATTATCTTATTTCAAATCCTGCAAAAAAGAGCTAAATAATTGTTGATACTAAAATATATTCCTGAAAAGATATTGTAAACATTTTTTTTTCGTTGTTTTCAATTAAAATCACTCATTGAGCCCATGTCACATTTGCTCATAAATAATAGCTTGCAAAATTTTGTGTTTTGCATGAAGTTTTAACAATATTTCCTCTTTTTTTACAGATCTAGGGAGGTAAATACCAAATATTCGGTATCTTGCCCCAAAATTAATTTTAATTTCTTTACATCATTAATATAAGCTTTTTTCCTAATCGGTATTTTTAAAAGTTTGAGTTTTTGCTACAAACTCTGATTAAATCCTTTATCTTCGTAACCCAAAGTCAATAGATATTTTAAACTATGAATTCTGTTAGATCAAATCAAAGTTTGAAATATCAAAGGTTTACACCATCAGGTTGAAAAGATAAGGATTCGAAAAGTTGAGTTTGTGGCAAAGACTCAATTTATTTAACACACAAAAAACCTGCCTCCTTTTGATGACTGTATCCTGTCTAATTGTATCTATTAGAACCCAGTAGGGTGGTGGGAAGATACATTTATTTCATTAGCAGTGACTTGAACTATATACTTCTATAGACAATCTAAATATATCACTCTCCACTATATACTTCTATAGACAATCTAAATATATCACTCTCCACTATATACTTCTATAAAGTAGACAATCTAAATATATCACTCTCCACTATATACTTCTATAGACAATCTAAATATATCACTCTCCACTAAACGCTAATTTATCTTGAGTAAGTGTAGTACTGCAGAACGCACCGAAAGCTTTGTTGAGTGTGACAACTATAATAAAATAGTTATTTCTGCTTGTCCGGCCGTTTGTTTGTATGTCTGATCATAACTCAGAAACCCCTTGACCAATTTGCCTCAAATTTTTATTGGGGAACTCGTACACTACGGGAATGTTCGTAACTTGGGTAAAAGAATTAAAGTTTAATAGGTGTAGTTTGAAAGGTAAAGTTTAGTGGGCAGTCAAAGCTGGGTTTCCAAGCTTTTATATTTTTATAGAGTTCTCATAGTTACATACAAGGTTATAATGCAAGGAAAGTTAATTGCAGTTGCGTATACTCTGGGCACATATTGAAACCAGTTCTCTCTGGGCGGAATTTGTAAACAATAATAGATACATTATAGTGTTTTTCTAGTATCCGAGGAAGTTAAAAGCATTAAATTTTGATAATTATGATAATTCACATAAAAGTTTCCTTTGACCAGAATATTTCATTGATTTTTTTTATGTATAAGATGGATCCCATGTCAGGCTATGACATCCGTCTTGTGTTTACATTATCGCCCAGAGACAGTACACTGCAGTACAAAAGATGCGTACACCTCTGAAATAACTTTCCTTGCATTAAAACCTTGGTTTCATACGCCGTTTATACGCGCTTGGTTGTAAATTTCAAAGCGGACCAACTCAACTTGAAATCTCAAAACTAAACTAAGAACATTTCCGTGGTTCACCCGCATTCCCCAATCAACATTTAAGGCAAATCGGTCATAGGGTTCATGAGTTATGATCGGACAAACAGACAAACATAAATTATTACTTTATTATATGTAGAAAAATATCTGTTCTCTCAGAAATGTGTTTAACCACATTTGATTAAAATATTCATCAATGCATACTCAGACACGTATCCCGGGGGGGGGGGGGGGGGGCTGTAATTATGTAAGATAAAATTATATTTTATGACATATTGTTTTCTTCCTTTTCTTGTATATTTTCTAAAACACTTGACCACCTACTGTTTTACGAATTTTTGAAATTTACGTTTGATTGATGGATTTATTCAAAGGTTTGAAGGTGAAATTTAAATTATGTAAAATTTGAGATTAAATCGATTTAAAATTCACCATAAAGTTAAATTCGGCGCTTATAATATTAAATAAAGACGAATTATTATCAAGAATGCGTTTTTCAAATTGGAAGTTAACTACTTGTAAACAAAGAGAAGCTGTAAATTGACACAAACTTTTCGTTTACGATTGTCTCTGTTTTTAAAAATTTTGGAACAAATAAAAATAAAAATAAAACATCGTCTTCATTGTATAGAAATAGACGATGATTATTGTATCATATTCGTGAATGGTTTAAACGGTCTATATTTATCAATGTATTTGTTGGCTTGTATACTAACCAAGGGTCTAGGGGTCAGATGGGATTTAGGCCAATAAATTCTAGATACAAGTATACACATCCTGATAACTGTATATACTTCAATGTATAACCTCTTCATTTTACAGTTATTGCACAACTCTTGAATAAAATAGTTTTATATAAAACTCAATATCTACAACGAAAACTTTCATGAAATAAATGCCTAGTTTGAAACAGTTAACTCATATTTGGCTAGAGCTCTGATTAAAGGGACTGTACGTGGAATGTAATGTAATCGAAAACTGCCATCTATGCATGGAGGGTTATTTGTAGTTACTCTTATTTTAATTGGATAACAGCAGATTTTTTTGTGGCACTACAGTCGGCAATTCATTAAACCCGATCTATATAGGTTCTGTCCATTCAAAAATATCAAAAAAGAAGAAATGAAAATAGAATAGAGTTTTGTACAAAATGTTTGAAAAAAGAAAAAAGAATTCAAATAAAGTAAAATAAAAGATAAATAGTATAGAATCAAATATAACATTACAGAATAATTTGAATAGCATAGAATAGAATAGAATAGAATAGAATAGAATAGAATAGAATAGAATAGAATAGAATAGAATAGAATAGAATAGAATAGAATAGAATACTTCTTTATCAAATCCCTCACTTCTCTTCCATCCTTGTATTCACCAGTAGAGCTGGTCACGTTCCATTTTTTTCTAGCCGTTTCGTTAACAGTTAGTTCCAACCGTTAAAAATAAAAATTTCAGTTAGCCATTCATTTTATAAGTAAGAACTTAAAAAAATATCGTTTTTTTACGAAACAAACTAATTTTCCGGAAGGTTTGGAAAAAATAACGGTTTTTGACGGAAAGAACAATTTCATACAGGGAACGATTTTACTTTACGATCGTTCAGTGAGAAATGATCGAAATGATTGAAAAATGAATGATAATGTCGAGAACGAATGAAATCATTTTTTTCTGAACGATTGAAAAGCAACGAACGAAATGGATCGTTCACGAACGAACGAACGAACAAACGAAATGAAATACATTTTGGAACTTCCGTATATTATTATTGATTAAATTCATATTTTTTTACTTCTCAATTTTGTAAATACATGAGTCCCCCCGGGCTTTAGGCATAATAATTCCATATTCGGCGGTATAGGTAGATACAGCATACAGGGTATATTATAGGAATATAGTTGTTATTATATGGGCATCATTAGCTACTCATCATACACTGTTTATACGTATTTTCATAATTAATCGGTACGCTTACAGCATGTTGGTTTATCGACGGCTAATACACAGGGTGTCCCCAGAAAAATGGGAACTTAGTTGTGAATTGTAAAAAGATTATTACTTTGTTGTTGCCACAAACCGAAGTTATCTAATCCCTATATCTTTGCAACCTGATGGCGTACACCTTTGATATTTCAAACTTAAATTATTCAATTTAAACATTATTCATACTTTGAACTATCTAAGGTCCACGACATTAGTTTGCAAAGATATAAGGATTACAATATTTGAGTTTCTGACAAAGACTTAATTCCTTTGTCAAAAATCGCATTTTCCTTTAAGAAAATATTTTTAGATAAATATCTAAAAAAACAATAATCATAAAATAAAAATGGGAATTAAAGTTGAGAATTGTAAATTAAATTTTTTTGTTGCAACATTTGATTCCTTACAAGAGGGAAATTGCAACAAACTCAAATATTCTAATCTCTTAATCTTTGCATCTGATTATATACACCTTTGCTATTTCAAACTTAAATAATTTAATCTAAAAGAATGCTTAGTTTAAAATATTAAAGGTCCACGACATTATTTTGCAAAGAAATAGGGATTAGAAAATTTGAGGTTATGGCAAAGACTCAATGCTTCTGTCAAAATTAATTTTTCCTTCTAGATAATATTTTGATGAATATCTATAAACAACAATATTAAAAATATCTTTTCAGGGATTCAAATTGAAGATGGATGACATGGGAAACATACTGATAAAAAGGCTTTGCAAGAGTCAGGTATGAATTTTGCACATATTTAAACATAGATTAAACCATTTTAAGAGGATTTGCTCTTTAAGATATACTATTTTGTTTGGAATATGACACAATAATAGCTTAGGTTTTGAAACTTAAAACAAGTACAACAAGTGCAAACAAGTACTCCTTTTTTTGTCATTGCGGTCAAACCAATGTCCATCTTGATGACCACAGCGTCCCGGGCTAGCCCCAGCCCCTCTGTGCCTTCAGAAAAATTGCATTAATTTTGAAGACAGGATCAACTAAAAAATGTCGCAACGCCTTGGTAGCCTTTGATTTAATCTCGCTTACTCAATTTTTACTTTTTTGTAGCACTAGGTATGTACATTTTAAAATATAAAGAAGTTGTTTTTAGCTTTAGCTTTTATGAGGTAATTGGTCGAATTCTAACAGATTTTTGCTTCGGAGCTTGACATTTTTTGATCACTGTCAATTTACTCTAGATACTGTTGACTGCAGTTGTTAGAAAAATGTGTTACAAAAAAATATTTTTAATTATAACACCAAGAAAGTTATAATTTCAATTGAAAATATACGTCTTATCCATATTTGAATTAACTTTGCATTTGATAATGTGTAAATTCATGAACAATGGGTTATTCTTAAAGTGCAGATAATGCCCATATAAGGTGATATACTGCCGAGATTAGCTAGACAATAACATGTAATATATATATATAATGGTGCAATTTGGATGAAAAATATGGTCTAGATAATAATAATTAAATTATAATTAAATTCTTGAGCCTTTGGGAGTTTGGGCTTTTTCCTCGCAACGGAGTTGAGTCTTTGCCACAAACTCGAATTTTCTAATTCCTATATATATGCAACCTGATGGTGTAAACCTTTAATATTTCAAACTCAGATTATTTGATCTATCATATAATTCATAGTTTGAAATATCTAAAGTCTACAACATAGGGTTGCAAAGCTATAAGGATTAGAAAATCAGAGTTTGTGACAAACACTAAATTCCTTTTGTATTTTACATGTTGCACTCCTGTATGCTGAGTCCATTAGCGCCTGATCCAATCAGGGTTCAGTCATGACTATTCTGAACCATCAGAATTAGTATGTAGTAGTATCTATCTTTCTATCTATCTCATTATCCAATTAGAGCAATTAGAGCATACTTAGAGTTATGAACCCTTCAATCGGTGCTAACAATAAATGGAAATATTTACTTCTACTGAGACTATGGTGGTTTGGGTTTCTCACAAAGAATTATTTTTTTTTTACCGAACTGCTTTTTAAGTCTTTATTTTTTATCGTTATCTTCGCTGAATATTCTGGTCAAATTGGTGAGATGTTTTCCTGCCACCGTTTTTTTAAATAACGTTCCATGGTCACAACATTTTTAAAATAACGTTCCATGGTCACAACATTTTTTAAATAACGTTCCATAGTCACAACATTTTTAAAAATAACGTTGCATGGTCACAACATTTTTTAAAATAACGTTCCATGGTCACAACATTTTTTAAAATAACGTTCCATGGTCACAACATTTTTTTAATAATGTTCCATGGTCGCAACATTTTTTTAATAATGTTCCATGGTCACAACATTTTTTTAATAATGTTCCATGGTCACAACATTTTTTTAAATAACGTTCCATGGTCACAACATTTTTTAAATAGTGTTCCATGGTCACAACATTTTTTTAATAACGTTCCATGGTCACAACATTTTTTTAATAATGTTCCATGGTCACAACATTTTTTTAAATAACGTTCCATGGTCACAACATTTTTTAAATAACGTTCCATGGTCACAACATTTTTTTAAATAATGTTCCATGGTCACAACATTTTTTAAATAACGTTCCATGGTCACAACATTTTTTTAAATAACGTTCCATGGTCACAACATTTTTTAAATAACGTTCCATGGTCACAACATTTTTTAAAATAACGTTGCATGGTCACAACATTTTTTAAATAACGTTCCATGGTCACAACATTTTTTAAATAACGTTGCATGGTCACAACATTTTTTAAATAACGTTCCATGGTCACAATATTTTTTAAAATAACGTTGCATGGTCACTACATTTTTAAAATAACGTTCCATGGTCACAACATTTTTTAAATAACGTTGCATGGTCAAAACATCTTTTTAAATAACGTTCCATGGTCACAACATTTTTTAAAAAAACGTTCCATGGTCACAACATTTTTTAAAATAACGGTGCATGGTCACAACATTTTTTAAATAACGTTCCATGGTCACAACATTTTTTAAATAACGTTGCATGGTCACAACATTTTTTTAAATAACGTTCCATGGTCACAACATTTTTTAAAATAACGTTGCATGGTCACAACATTTTTTAAATAACGTTCCATGTTCACAACATTTTTAAAAAAAACGTTGCATGGTCACAACATTTTTTTAAATAACGTTCCATGGTCACAACATTTTTTAAAATAACGTTCCATGGTCACAACTTTTTTTTAAATAACGTTCCATGGTCACAACATTTTTTAAATAACGTTCCATGATCACAACATTTTTTAAATAATGTTCCATGGTCACAACATTTTTAAAATAACGTTCCATGGTCACAACATTTTTTTAAATAACGTTTCATGGTCACAACATTTTTTTGAAATAACTTTCCATGGTCACAACATTTTTTTAAATAACGTTCCATGGTCACAACATTTTTTTAAATAACGTTCCATGGTCACAACATTGTTTGAAATAGCGTTCCATGGTCACAACATTTTTTAATATAACGTTCCATGGTCACAACATTTTTTTAAATAACGTTCCATGGCCACAACATTTTTTGAAATAACGTTCCATGGTAACAACACTTTTTTAAAATAACGTTCCATGGTCACAACATTTTTTTAAATAACGTTCCATGGTCACAACATTTTTTTTAAAATAACGTTCCATGGTCACAACATTTTTTTTAAATAACGTTCTATGGTCACAACATTTTTTAATACGTTCTTTAAAGTTAAAAAGAAATTTTCTAAAAGATCTGCCTAAACCTTTTTTATTTCAAATTTATTTTGGAACGCTTCAGGAAAGCACTGAATTGCAATGGGTGTTATTCAAATAAAATAAGATTTAACATTTTATGCACAAAGATTTTTTTCCGGCACAAATTGGTTGGGTTTATACTTTATAGTCATGATTCGATATTTTAATGTAATCTAAATCGTGAAAAACCAAAACTTTAAATCACACAGATTCTGTAAATTGTATGTGTGCACTTTAATTCGTAAATTCAATTCAAAACTCAAATAGTTAAATAAATTATTGCATAGAAAATGTTTGCAAAATTGATGGTAATTTGCAATTATCCGGAAAATAATCATATCTTCCGCCTTTATGCTTTCTTGTATTCAAATAAAGAACTATACGCGTAATTTCATGTTACCCTCATGTACATAGATGACAATGCATGATAAACAACGATACCCTTAAAAAGTATGTATTAGATATCAATGAATATAAATTTTTAATTTTTTTTTCTCTAAAAAAGTTACTTATAGAGCAGAAAAAGTGAAAACATTTTATTAACTTTTAAAATTGAACACTTTTAACCCTACACATTATACAATGACAATATCTTCCATATTATTAAACAGATCCAGGTTTCAAAGGTAACGTTGTGAATCGGGAATTGTCATCTTTGCATTGAGGGTCACTTGAAATTACGCTTACATTCCCTTTAAATCAAGTTAATAGACATTTTTCTTAGCCATCTTATTTTGTGGACATACTATTAGACACAAGACGTACACATTTCATCTTCTTACGCTGTTTCCGTTTTTGCTTTGTGTGCCAGCTTAAATTTTTATTTAAGTCGGAGCTCCTTATAGATAAACAGTTCAATTTCTTGCTCTAAATATTTTAGATATGGTTTTGCTAATATAAACCGCAGCGGTGCTTAAACATACAGAGGAACTAGATTTACGCTGAGAATGTAAAAGAATTGCATCTGAATGTTCTTTAAATAATCCAAATGTTTTTGATGGTTTTGCTTTACAGTTCAAAACCTTGCTTCTGTGTATATATAAAGTTGAATCTCTGTTTGTTTGTCCGTTTGTTTGTCCGATCATAACTCAGGAACCCCTGGACGATTTACATCAAATTTTGTTTGGGGAGCTCGGGACTTGGTTTTGAGATTCTAAAATGAGTGGGTTCAGTTTTAACGGGATAAATATTTAAGATAATAATTTACGACAAAGCGCGGGTAAACTCCCCTGGGCAACGCTGGGTTTCCAAACTAGTAGAGCTTAAAAAACAGAGGAAACAGATTTGCGCTTAAATTATGTAAGAATATAGTGGAAGTATCTTTTTGCATAGAGTGCATTAGAATTAAATAAAAAGCAGAAAAAAGGAATACAGAGCTAGGAAGCATTCATCGCAAAAAGTATAAAAGAATATATACTAATTAAAGATTCTTTAAAATGCTTTAATTTTCAATTTAGCTTTCTACATTTTAAAAGAAGGGGTTTGTGATGATTGGGTAACATAGAACTTTATAACAGTAGGATAACTCTGACGTTTATCGATATATATTACGTCTTTGCTTTAAGTTTGAACAGTTCACGTTGTAATTTCTGGAGTATCTTTCTTCTTCTATATCTTTTTATCAATAGCTTGTCTGGGTGTCTGTTTGTTTGAATCCAATAAACCTCAAAACGGCTGAACCGATCGGGCCCAAATTTTGTGTGGGACCTTACGTGACCCCAAGGAAGGTTTCTGAATGATAAAAATTCAAAAAAATTTGTGTTTAAATTTTTTTATTTTAGTAAAATTTTGAAAATACGCGAAAAATATTTAGAAATCCGCAAACTTTTTGTTTTGTTTTTGTTTTATACTGTACAAAGAGAAGATGCTCACAGATAAAGCCACAATTAAAAGTTGAAATAGAAAATGGCCGCGAAGCGCCCTAAAAGCCTTGTACATAATAAAACACTTCAATATAAATGCAACTGTAAACTAGAGGTCCTTCCGTGAGTCCCTTATTACCCATTAAATGTAGATTTTTCGTATTTCCTAATTTATACTTTTTAATATTAAAGTTTAGTATGACTCTTACGAAATTGTTAAAGACTTTTTAATGAGATATGAAAATATGACAGGATACAGTTCGGTGTTGTTAGGCTAATGAGATGCACACGCCCTGGAATAAGATAAAAAGTAAATATTATTTTCCTCTGATGTATTCCGATATATCACAAACGCCCATAATATAAACTAGGACAACTAGGCTCTGTTCAAAGGGACTGTAAGCGTAATTTCAAGTGATCCTCTAACTTTATTACAAAGTAAGCATTTATCTCAGTATAATCGATATGTGTTCAAATATAAAATGGACAAAAAGCATCTTTCAACCAAATATTAATCACATATCTCCATTGATAAACTTAAAGTTGTTTCGGAGGAAGGAAGTGGGGGGGGGGGTTGAAGAGCCTCTTTAAACATAAAATTGCACTCCGGGGATGTCTAATGGATATGGATTCTTGAATTTATCAACATTAAAGAACTGACATGCCTCCCCCCAGCATCCATTATCCGCCCTAAATATGGCCTCATTTCCTCAAGCCACAATACAGGCTGTAATCAGGCCATTTTATCAAAGTATTAGACCAGTTGAAAACTCATTCATCTTCAGTCGAAAGAATCTACATAATAATTTTACTTGAATAAAGAATATTCAGGTTTAAATATGGAGTTTAGTTGTAATGGAGATTATACTAGTGTAATTGTCTCCACTGGTCCCCTCTGGTCTCCAATGGCCTCCACTGGTCTCCACTGGTCTCCAATGCCCTCCAATGGTCTCCACTGGTCTCCATTGGCCTCAATTGGTCTCCACTGGTCTCCTCTAATCTCCACTGGTCTCCACTGGTTACCACTGGTCTTCACTAGTCTCCACTGGTCTCCAATGGTCTCCACTGGTCTCCACTGGTCTCCACTGGTCTCCACTGGTCTCCACTGGTCTCCACTGGTCTCCACTGTTCTCCACTGGTCTTCACTGGTCTCCACTGGTCTCCACTGGTCTTGTTGCAAAAATCCAATTGTTAACTTCTTATAATTTACTAATAATAGATTAATGTAAGATATTGCAGACATCTCAAGGTTACAATTAATGATTGCAATTTTCTTTGCAAATATATTGACAGAGGGTGTGATTAGGACTTGTTTACATCGCTGATAATGAATATGAATTAAGAGCCTTAAACTGCTTTAGTTTACAATAAACATATTATCCTGCATCATTCATTTTAACATCTTTAAAGTCGACGAAAACATGAAATCCATTCATGTTTCAATTTCAAAATTTTTTAATAAACTCAAATAAAAAAATTACATTGAATGGGATGAAAATCAACGCCACGTATGTTCAGTGACAACCTTAAAACTCTGGAATAGGAAAACGTTTAAATTTCATGTTATGGCTGTAAATACTCCAATGAAAATGAAGAACAGCAATTATGCAGTTTAAACAGACCAATTTTACCTAATAAATGATTTAATTACTCTTTTTTCAAAAAATACCAACATGCAGAAAAAATTGTTGAAATAAACTTAAAAACAAATTAGGAAATTTTTGGATTTTTTAAAAATCAGCAATCTCGAAGGGTGTTTAAAGTTGCGCCTCTAACCACTAAATATTGCCCAGTTGTTGGTTTTTTGAAATTATGAAAATAGGTTGATCTAGGACCAAAAAACCATTATTTTTGGAGAACTCTGGCAAATTTCCGTTAAAAAGTCCATTTTCGCCTATAACTTATTTAATTTAACCAATTTTTACGATTTTAACATTCACGAAACATTCAGGTTCAGTGTTTAAAGATGGATATTTTGGTATCAATATCAAAATATTAAAAAAAATTTAGTTAGCACTTGTGATTTAAATTTTACAAAAAAAACGTAATGCACTGCATGAATTTTTACTATTGAAACTTTTAAGACACGTGTCGAGAGGATCTGGCCATTTTTATCAAAAAGTGCCAAGCTGTCCAAACCTTACTTTAATGTCGTCTTCCTATTCCACAGTTTTCTAGTTCTCATTGGAAGAAAAACGACTTCTTGGTTGTTCTGAAATAAAATCTAAAATTGTGCGCTTGTTTAGGTGTACGCGCGCCAGACGGGAGACGAGAGCGCGCTGTCGAATGACATCTTGAAGCTAAACAACGGTCTGCTGGAGCACGATAAACCCTTTAAACTGTTCGAGATGAAGAAATATCAGAATAATCTGAACAGGGAACTCAAGAGACAGTATCCGGACCGAAGGTAAAATTTATTCAAATGTATGGGTTATTGTGGGAAATATTGCAATGTGGATATCCAGATCAAGCATTTGAACAAAATTTTTTTTGGTAATCTGCAGATTAATTTAATCTTTATTTGATATTCTGCATGGTAATCGTACCCTGCAGGAATAACTGAAAGGAAGAGATCCTCAAATTAAAATTTCCCACAGTGGATATGGAGATAAAGGGATCGGGATTATTAGTATCTATCACAAAATTTCCCAGCTTTGGGCATTAAACCCCCTTGGCCAGAATGACTCATAGCCCATTTAAAAAACGTTTCTTTATGAAATTCAAGCATTTTAAAAAAACTTTTAGTTTTCGATGATAGAGGATAAAGTAAAAAAAAAAATTTCGTCTGAACTAAAACTGCTAAAAGGGACATATTTTCAATTTACCCTCACATTTTTGTCTGATTCACAAGGGTACCCTGTATACCATTAACTGAGAAAAAAGTAAAAAAAATATATTCGTTTTTCAATTTTATTGCTGAAAGAGCATCTTAAAGAAAAGTTCAGAATTAAACAGAGAAGAAAATTCAAACTACTATATTTTTGAAGAAAAACAAGAAAATCTAGGATCAACTTCAAACTTTGTCGGCATGGCTCTTTAACTTAAAAAAAAACTATTATACTATTAAAAACAAGTACTGACTGGACAAATACAAAAATGTCCCCCGAAATTAAAATTGCATTTATTAATAATGTAATATGATAGTCATTACCAGTGTTATTTTCATAATGCAAAACCAAAAACCAAAAATTAATTTATAAATATTAATATTTCTTTTATCATTAATTATGTTTCAGGGTTATTCCTTACAAAGAATATTTTAAACAAAAAACCTAAATTCAAAATCATTTGGCATTTCAATATTAGCAGTTCTAAATTCTTTTTCATTGTCTTTCGACTGTAAATAAGAATTACCACTATTTTAGTTTAACGTCTAATGTCGTCTTCATACAGCGATATGCGATTTTGTAAAAAATGAAGACGACTTTCGATTTCAATTTTGATCCATATCAAGCTTTTAAGCAGCATGAATACACAACATCACGGAAATCTAATTGTAAACTTGTGATTAAGAAAAGGCTTGTTAACAATTAAAACTTAAATAAAAAGTCGTCTTCATTATATTGATGTAAACGCCTACCACCGTATTGAAAAAAGATGTCTGCCTTCACTCGCTAATAAAAGCTGATTTATCTATATAATAAAGCTCTTCGCTCAGCAATGCCAGCTATATCTGGCCAAACGGCTAAACCGAAAGGGCTGACATTTTTTTAGGGATCCCATGCGTGCTCTGGGGGAAACAAAGGCTAAAATTTCTTTCAAAATTCGATTTTTTAAATTCCACTGCAACGCCGGGCGCCTCAGCTAGTAGATATAAAATGTTCTATAAAGTAAATGATAGCGTGAGCTCGAAAGTGCGTGATGATGAAATAAATCATCTAACCTGCAGTGTAAATTGTTTTTAACACTGTGCATTAAAATTAGTCTTAATTTTATGAGATCGTGATTCTGGTTCTTAACCCGGCCATCTACACGTTGAAACCTGAATTATTTTATTCTACAGAGTTACCAAGAAAAGCATGTGATTGAAAAAACGATTTGTAACTTTTTAAAAATCCTTTTTTAATTAAGACAGTTTAAATTCAATTTAATTAAGACAGTTTAAATTCAATTTAATTAAGACAGTTTAAATTCAATTTAATTAAGACAGTTTAAATTTCTCTGAAGTCTCAACCCTGTATTTAAAATTTTAACGTGACAAAGCAAGGCATCGTAAATGCAACTTTTGTAGAATACTTTCATAACAATGTTTTTTTCTGTTATTTATCATCTTATTGATACAATTTTCAACGAATTTCTAAATATAGTGAGAACCTGAAAACTCCGGAGCAGGAAGACGGCTTTTAGGCTTAAATCATGGGGGTAAATAGTCCAATTAATATTAGACAAAGCAATTGTTTAGTTTGAATCTATTCCACAAAATAAGTGATTTAACAAGGTAAGGATGAAACTAATTGCTTTGTAATAATTCAAATACACTTAATTAATTGCTCTAATGGCGTCTTCCTTTTCCACACTATACTGGCTCTCACTGTATCAAATGTTTGCATAAAAATGCAAATTGTACATCTACGTTTATATTATTATTTATTCAAAATCTTCAACAAATTTTAATTAAATTTTCATGTTCTCAGGAAACTTGAAGCACAGTGCATATCCTTAGTTAGCTTCGGAACTAGTCAAGTAAGTAATTCTACCTATCTACCTATCTACCTATCTACCTATCTACCTATCTACCTATCTACTTAACTGTCTACTTACCTATCTACCTATCTAATTAATTGTCTACCTACCTATCTACCTATATATTTAACTGTCTACCTACCTATCTACCTATCTACTTAACTGTCTACCTACCTATCTACCTATCTAATTAACTGTCTACCTACCTATCTACCTATCTACTTAACTGTCTACCTACCTATCTACCTATCTACTTAACTGTCTACCTACCTATCTACCTATCTAGTTAACTGTCTACATTCCTATCTACCTTTATACCTATCTAACTACCTACAGAGTGTTCACGAAACATAACACTTGGTGAACAGTTTTGAATGTCGTCTTCCATATTTTTTATAAGGTACTAAAAAGGCCATGTAATTTATTTCATCAAAAAAAAATCTGTCACTCAAATTATTTTACTTTAAAATCAATTTTACTATAATATTACTGCCATGTGATATATTTTATTATTCTTTTTTTATCTCAAAGAACTTAACAAATTATGGAAGACGACATTTAAAACTGTTCACCAACTGTCATGTTTCGTGGGACACCCTGTACTTCCTACTTATCTAGAGTGATATCCTGGATAGCCCTATCTGGATACTGGTGATCAATGTTGTTGCAATGGAGATGCTAAGAAGTAAACTGCCTCCACTACATATTCTTGATAACAGGTTCTAAATGCTTTTGGGATTTGTTAAAAATATATTCCTGAATCTGAGAATCTGAATCTGAGAATCTGAATCTGAGAATCTGAATCTGAGGACAAAGTATATATGTATATATATATACAGTGGTAAGCCTATATACCAATATAATGTATACAACATTTAGTGAAGTTTTCCTTACTTTTGTAAACAAAAGGAAGCTGTGAAAATCAATAAGGGAAAAAGATAATAATGTTTTACGAAATAAAATGGGATATCTTTAAATTTGTTTAAGAAAATAAGCAGAATTAATTCTAAATGTCTCAGTAAAAATGTCTCAGTAAATGTCTCTTTTATCGTAAAAAAATATTATTTTTATAGCAAAGCTGCACTTTAATGTCGTCTTCATTATATTGATAAATAGGCTTACACTGTATATAAATGTATAGAGATAATATGTCAACCATTAGAAAATCTAAATAATGCTGAATTAACTATTGATAATTTTGAGGAGCTTGTTTCATAGTTAAATCACTGATAAACAAAACAATTACTAATTGATTTATTGAGGTAAATACTTATAACTGATCATTTTAAGCTACAACTGTAAACTTTCTGCTAATTGGTCGATTAAAATGTAAAAATAATAATTAGGTTGTTGATCTTTAATGATTTATTGATTTAATTGATAAATTTATTAATTGATTGATTGATTGACCAGGAGAATACAGACGTTTAGCAGTGACGAGGGTCCGTTTAGTATTAACTGATTGATTGATTGGTTGATTGATTTAGTGATTATTTTATCGTCCAGGAGAATCCATGCATCTCGTAGTGACAAGGATCCATATAGTATTAATTGATTGATTTATTGATTGATTGTTAAGGAGGATTCAGACATGTAGCAGTGACGAGGACCCGTATAGTATTAATTGATTGATTGTTAAGGGGATTCAGACATGTAGCAGTGACGATGACCCGTATAGTATTAATTGATTGATTTATTGATTGATTGTTAAGGAGGATTCAGACATGTAGCAGTGACGAGGATCCGTATAGTATTAATTGATTGATTGATTTATTGATTGTTAAGGAGGATTCAGACATGTAGCAGTGACGAGGATCCGTATAGTATTGCTGGAAGTGGAAGTAGCGGAAGCAGTGGAAACGGAAATACAAGACCAAGGTCTGTACATCACGTAATTTACTGTGTACAGTGTACAGAAGTGTACAATGAACTGCTGTCTCAGTGGCGTAAATAAGGGGGGTTATTGGGGTTATTTACCCCCCCCTAGAATCCTGGGGGTAAATACCCCCCCCTAGAATCCTGGGGGTAAATACCCCCCCTAGAATTTCAGTTTCTCAGAGGTTTTCCTTT